GAAAATGGCCGCGGACCACGCGTCACGGGCGGGAAAATGGCCGCGGACCGTGTCGTGGGAGGGGAAATGACCGCGTACCCTGTTCGTACCCCGAGGCGGAGTTCGCAAACCGAAGCAAAATTTTGCGGCCAGAGCTGGTTGTAACCCGAAAAGTTCGTTAACTTTGTATTAGGTAAGCATGGGGGAAATGGTCAAAGAAACACCACCACCTAAAATGTGATGTTGTGAAACCATAGTTCCTATGGCAGTCACAAGAACAACAACTCTGGAACAAAAAAACAAAAATAAAAGTGCAACGATGCTTTGAAGAACTGGCCCTATGATTACATCGGCATGCTAGGATGAGTGGTATATTGAATAGGATTGTGGGTTGGGCAAAGCCTTCATCCTTGCCCTCATGATCTGCCATCAGAGTAGCTGCTTCCTTGTGCTTAAAATGACATGGCTCTCTGGAATAGCTTATCACCCAGCTGTCTGTTCTAGCCATCTGTCTTGGGTGTGTCCTCTGAGGGGGCCTCAAAGTAGCTATAGTGATCACCTGTTCCTTGCTGATACACAAACCTGACCATGCATTACTCTGGCCAGCCTTGAGTGCTGCTGGAGTAGGGGTTTACAGAGGGGATCATATAAGGCAATGTTGTCCAAACTTGGCCACTTTAAGATGAGTGGACTTCAACTCCCAGAATTCCCCAGCCAGCATGGCTGGCTGGGGAATTCTAGGAGTTGAAGTCCACTCATCTTAAAGTGGCCAAGTTTGGACAACATTGCCTTATATGATCCCCTCTGTAAACCCCTACTCCAGCAGCACTCAAGGCTGGCCAGAGTAATGCATGGTCAGGTTTGTGTATCAGCAAGGAACCCTAGAATTCCCCAGCCAGCATGGCTGGCTGGGGAATTCTAGGAGTTGAAGTCCACTCATCTTAAAGTGGCCAAGTTTGGACAACACTGATATAAGGGAATGGGAGGTGGGACCAGAGAGGAAGCTTCTCCCATTTCAGGCAGTGAGTCATTTCAGGCAGCTGCTGGTGCTTTTCATAGCCAGACATCCTTGCACAGTGAGTGTGGTATATTTGTAATGAGGGAATCATGCTGAGGGAAGAACTAGACACTTGTACAAGTAAGAAATATGAAATATTTGCTTATAATTATAATTTGTATAATTATATGATGACATGCTTCAAAAATATGTTCCTGAATCCCTGCAATTACCCTTTCAAGTAAGCCTGTCTTGACAAAACCATCCTGAGGAACTGACAGTGGAAAAATGTCCTGCATCTTCCCTTTTGTAACACACCCACTACACCAGCTTTGGATTTGTGTTGAGATATCCAGTTCAGTTGGAAGCTGGGTAGCAGAAACCAATAAGATGTAAACAGTTCCTAAAATTGACATCACTTTCTGATTCTGAAGCTGAAACTTCAGAAGCCGATGAACAGGCAAAGTGTGATTAACACATACATTATGATTAGGATCTGGATTCCAAAAGGAAGGGACCATAGCTGAATGCATTCTTTCCATACGGAAGGTTTTATGTTCCTTCAAAACCAACTCCAGTTAAAATAAACAGTACTAAGCAAAGGGGAAACCAACAGCTGCTACTATTTGGAGTAAACAATACTAGAATATATGGTCCCTAGCCTTCTAAAAAGAACATAAGTATATATATAACAATCTGCCCTAAACTGAGGACTTTCCCACACTGCAGTCTTCACTGCTTATCTCCCATGTGTAAACCAGCTGCAAATGAAACCAACTTAAGAAATCCTTTTTAGATATCAACCCTTTCCTCTAAGTTGGCCCCAACAATGTCCATACCATAGTTCACATGACCCTGATTTCCTTCTGTGGGCATGTCTTTTGAGGATTGGTAAAAAGCTTTCATGGCAGGTAGCCCAGTATGAAATGGGCAGAGCATGGGGACTGGGAGTATGTCTGCCAGAGTCCACACCAGTCTAGTGGAAAGGAGGCATTTGTGTAGGATGGCATGAAGCAGAGCAGGTGAAACAAACTGCCCTGTTGGCACTGATGGAATGGTAAAGATAAAGAACCAGAAAACTCAGATCAAGGTTGATTTCTAGCAGGCTAGTGGTGGGCTGAGAACAACATCACCCTCCTGAAATAACATGTAGTCTATTCTTATGCTTGGGCAAGCATGAAATGCAGATCAGTCCTGAGTCCGTTCATTTAGCTCAATATTGTCCACACTGACCGGCAACAGCTTTTCAGGGTTTCACACTGGAGTCTCTCCCAACCTTACCTGGAGATGCTGGGAATCTAGTCTGGAACCTTCTGTATATGAAGCAGCTCTTTTGCCATGGGGCGTATGACATTCCCTTCCCTTTGCTACTGTTTTCTACTGTCTTGGTCCAAAAGATCCAGCTATCGAAATCTGACTGAGTCTTTGGGAGAGCAAAATACTCCACTGTGAGTCTACTTAATTCAGGGCGTAGAGCTTTGAGGAAAACAAGCAGCCTCCATGCTTTTGAGAAAGATAACACTGCCTGATCTGTGAGAGGTCCTTACATATAATATATATGTACATACATACAGGTTAAGATCTATTATTAGTTCCCTTAAGCCAGTGTTGTCCAAACGTGGCCACTTTAAGATGAGTGGACTTCAACTCAATTCC